AAATGTTATCTCCAGCTGGGCAGTGACGGCGCACACCTTTGATCACTTGAGAGGCAGAGGTAGGTAGATCTCTGTGAATTTGGGGTCAGTTTGGTCAACAAAGCAAATTCCAGGACAGCCAGAGCTGTTACACAGAGAAATCCTGTCTTGAAATACCACACACACACACACACACACACACACACACACATACACACACACACACACACGTTACCTCCAAACTGTGATTAACTCAAGAGAGCTCTGTCTGCATGAATAGACAATTCTATTCATGGCTTAATGGGTTACTGAGGGGACAATTGGTTTTGTCTCTTGTATGTGCCCTTTTTGTGATGTGAGATCTTATGTTGCCTCACAATTCTCAGTCTAAAGTGACATTATAAAATGTCACACATCATCCTAAGAACAGTATAAAGGTCCATATCTGCATTCAGACCTACAATACACATACAGTATGACTTACAGTTTAAGTAATATACACAAAAAATACACAAAGGAAAAGATGAGTTATATATGTTGCCACTACCTGTATTGTTGTTGTATTAGTTCTTTAGGTTCAGCCTGGTTTTGAATTCCTCTCCGAAAAACAGCACTGGCATGTTGCAACTCTCCCTGGGCTTCCAGATGCCCCGCCCAAGATACATAGAGAGGAGATGACTTGGTTCCAATTCCCTGATTGTACAGAAACTCAAAATACTGATGAAGATCACTGTTGTACTCAGCCTGCAGAAACCCGGAGGAGAATCACACAACAATGAGGTACAAAGAAATAGTTTATGGATATAGGGGGCAGCCAGATAGGGAGAATGACTTCTAATCTACACTAGGAAACTATGGTTGATAATTTTATATTCCAAAATAGCTAATAGAGAGAGTTTTGATTTCTAACACATTAAAAAAGGATAAATATTGGAGGCTATATACCAATTATTCAGATCACAAGGTTATACAGTGTTTAGATGTTACTCTCTTCCATAATTATGAATAACGTTATACACAGACAACCAAACTGTTAGGCTAGGTCTATCTCAGAACCCAGGAGTCCCACATTGTTTAGTCTTCATGAAAGTCTAAGAATGTACTGCATAGGTAAAAACATATGTTGTTCAGATGGTGAATCTAAAAATCATCTCTTTCTTTGATATTCAAGGATTATGACAGTATTTCACAAAATAGTAGGGCCTATGATTCATTACATGAAATACTGCTTTGGTTTTAACCTAAGGTTATTCAAGTTCCACAGGGTGCCTTTAATTATAGTATTTTATAATTTAGGGAAAAATTCAAATTTCACTTTATCTATTCCATATGATTTCATTACTAGAATTCATAGCTCCAAGCTTTCATTTCAGATTAGACTGAAGAGTCCTGTTCTCTCTCTTTTTTTTAAACAGTTGTTAACAATGTGTATATAGTTTATTTTTGTTTTTTGAGACAGGGTTTCTCTGTGAAACAGTTCTGACTATCCTGGAACTCACTCTGTAGACTAGGCTGGCTTTGAACTCACAGAGATGCTCTGCCTCCCAAGTGCTGGGATTAAAGGCATGTACCACCACCTTTTGGCCTTGGTAACAATATTTTAATTAAAAACATGTTATCCTATCTGTACTGCATGATGTTTCTCAAAGAACAAAACAAAAACCCAATACAAAACACCCAAGCTTAGAAAACAAAAATCAATGCCCAAGAAGAAAAAAAAAAAAAAAAAGGAAAAGAACAAAAAACCAAACTGTGACCAAATAAAAGCACACAAAAAAATGTGGAGTCCATTATTTGTTGGTCAACTACTCGTGAACATGAGACCTGACACTCCACATTGAAGTTGGACAAGACAAACCAAGAAAAAGCACAAGAGTCAGAGACCTACTTGTTTGAACACTCAGGAATCCCACACAAACACCAATACTGGATGCCATAATAAACATAGAGAGCGTCCTACCCTATTAAAACCTGAGACTGCCTTTTAGTACTATATTTAGTCTCTGAATTAAAATCCCCAGAGACCTTAGCATCTAAGACCTTCTGCTTATTTTCCTTCTCTCAAGCACATTTCTTCCTTCCTTTCTTCAGACAGAGTCTCCAAACAGTGTTGGTTGGCCTAGAACTCATTGTGTAGACCAGTCTGGCCTCAACTCACAGAGATCTGCTTGCCTCTCTCTTCCAAGTGCTGGGATTAAAGGTGTGAGCCACCACAACTGGCTTCAATCACATTTCATATCCATCAATTCATTTAACTTTTTGTTACTATCTCTTGTTGGAACGTACATATGAAACAAAGAGGAGTTTTAAAAATAAATCACTGAATCCTTAATATTTTCAGTAGCTAAGACTCTAAAACACACACCTTTAACTATATAACTTCTAAAAAATTCATGACTATAAACAATAAATTGATATGAAAAAGCAGTCTAAAATGATCTTAACAAGGGAGGGGGACCAAAAGTAAAACACTGTATTTAGTTATCTACCTGAAATTATACTCACAAATTTTAAGCAATAATGGATGAATCTTGAGTCATTGTGGTACCTCTTCTTATCTAAAAATTCCTTTATTAACTGTTGCAATAATGTCATCAAGTATTCTTTATTGTCAGGAAAATTCTCTTCTACCCACTTCATAAAGCTGGAAAAATATGGATATTAGTTTTCCACAGGGTAGCACATGGTTCCTTCTTTAAAGGAAAATAAACAAACAAATGCACACTAACCTTTCCCATTCCCCAAGTGGGTCATTACCCTGGTAGCTTTGCATATGTGCTTCAAACATGCTAGAACAGAAAATACATACATGAGAGATTAAGAATAATTCCTAGAAGCCAAAGATACATTAGATTCTATACTATGTCATCTACATGCTTGGAAATGGAAATCTTGAATATCAACCCAAGCATCACAGAAAGAACAATCATTCAGAGGCATTCAGAAAAATCAGAAGCAGTATTTGCCCCCAGGTCTATCTAGATTAGCTAGTCTCCAATGTCACTGCCACCCAGTGGGACTGAGACAGGTCTATTCTGGTCATCCCCCTTACTTCTCAGATAAGATAGAGGATTAGAGTAAGGGTCAAAGAAAGACTCTCCTTTGTGTGATAACCCAGAGATAGTTTGCTTGAGTCCAAAAATAACATTGACCCAGAGGAAAAGCATATGACAGTGCTGGTAAATAGCCATAGAGCACCTAGAGGACTTTGCTTTCCTTACTTCCATAACAACCAACCACAGCTTAAGAAGTCAGGCAAGCAAATTAAATTCCAATGACCTCAGATGCTACTGTGATAGGACAAAAGTATAAAAATAGGGCCATTTTCCATGGAATAATAAAAGGAAAGAGGGGCAGACTAAAGAATACTCGAAGAGCAAAGGCTACCTTTAAGGGAGGAGCATGCGCTACGTAGCTACCAGCCATGTGAGGGGATCATCAAGCTGACAGAACTTGAGGAGCACACCAGGTGTGCTAAGTAGAAGAGGTGGCAAGTTCTATCTGCATTTTAAAATATCTTTGTTTTTTCACGGAAAGGAACAGGCATGGAAACACAAGTAGGAATCAGTTAGGAAGCTATAGCTATAGCAGAGTCCTAATGGGTAGTACTTGGGACCAGGTTGAGAATGGTCCCTGTACAATTTCAGAGACAGGGAGGATGGGAATTAACTGTATTCTGAGTATGAATCAAGCTGACAAACAATAATAGATTTTTAAATTGAGAAATGATAAGATTAGGAGGTAAGAATTTAAAAGCAGCATTTTTTTTCAGAAATGACCAGAAAAATCAACCTCAAAATATAATTCATTGGCATACTGAAATGGTTATTCAGGGAAACTATAGACAGCAATGGCTTTTTCATAATTTCGTGGACAGTTGTAAAAATTTTAGCAATTTTATTTTTTTTTAATTAAATCAAGGAATTTCACTCTTTCACTTAAAAGGAACACATTTCGGGTTCTTTTAGGCATGTCTGAATTGCCAGCACTACTTCTGTCTTTTGAAGTTCTTATTTAGCAAAATATGAATACAACTATTTGTCCAAAGTAAACATTTAAAAGCCTCACACCAACCTTACTCCCTGGGAAAATGGCTTACACACAGTTACTAAATTCTAGAACACCTAATTCATAAAGCAAATTAGCCTTTTAAAAGTCAAAATACCTAGTTTCTTTTTTTTAATGGGGAGGGGCTTTCAAAAGAGAGTATTTAGTCGATCTCATTAAAAATTAAGTTGCTTTACGCGAACTCTTCGGATACCCAAAGGGCTGATAAAAATAAAATTTTATTTCCTATAACATGATTTAACAGTTATAAATCACAGGTGGATAAGGCACATAAAGAAAAAAAAAAAGCAAAGCAACCAGTGTGAGAACATAAAAAAAATATGCTTCCAGACAGAAACAAATGACACAAGAAGCATGTTTTCCATAAAGTTCAGCTTCAGTTTGTTTTTTAACATAGCAAGTAAGCGAGAAACAGTAAATTCTTTCCCTAGTTGACTAGCGTTTTTACAAAGAGACTGAAATTTTCTCCTAAAACCTCCACCACACAGGTTTGGGGATTTGAAGGCGGGCCGTCTGTTTAGAAGCTGCGCAAATCCCGGCCCACAAGACCCGCAGCTTTGCCGCGCCCACCCGAGCGAGCCGGGCACGGCCGCCCTGGCTGAGACGTGGTGAAGATCTCTCACGGGAACGCGCTGGGGGAGCCGGCCCTCGGCTCGGCTCGCGCCCTCGCTCCCTCTCAGGGACACTTACCGAAAGACATTTTCTAGGCTGTCCATGACGAGAGAAAGCGCACGGCGGCGAAGCACGGAATTCAGCCGCCGCCACTAGTCACCAACTCCGATGCCGATTCGAATGCCCCGCGCAGCCGCAGTCGTACGCCGAGCGTTGGCAGAACGCCTGATCATTGGTCTCTGTTAAGGGAGAGCGGGCCAATCGCTGGGGGCGTTGCTAGGAGACGAAGTCCCGCCCCCTCCGGCAGCACCGGCAGTTCCTCCCACTTCCACCTAGCCTAACCTTCTCGTGAGCCTTACTCTAGGTGCTACTTCCGTTCTAGTGAGACGCTGACTATTTTAGTACAGGGATTATTGTTGTTATTTTAAAAACTATATAAATTGAAACTGGGCCACAAAATTACACTACCAGGCTGAACTTGACTACTCTGTGACATGAACTGCTTTGAGCCTTCTTGGATCCTGAGAGTCGCGATTCTTTGCTTAAATAACAGAAATTGCTTACTGCGGGTAAAGGCTCTTGCCGCCAACGCTGGCATTCCCGGAATCCTCAAGGTAACTGGAAAGAAAATCAACTTCCTCAAGTTGTCCTCTGATCTCCACATGCATAATGTGGCACATACACAAATTAACAAATGAGGAGACATTCATCATATCATGCACACAAACTCACACAGTCATACACTATGCATAAAAATTTAAAAAATGTTTAAAGAGTCCAGATATCCAAGAATAAATACATAGCATGTTCATGTGCCCTAAAAGTGACTTGAGAAATAATGTAGCCTTCTCTGCTTCTTTAGTTTTGATAACTTCCCACTTTGCCTCTCAAGGCTCACTTGAGCAAAGCAAGTAGAACATAAAAAGGTCATGTGATTACCTTCCTGTTTCTAGCGGTCCACAGAGTGTTACAGCTCCCTTAAGTTGCTAAAGGTATATTGCAGCTCTAGACAAGCAGACGTCTAGAAAAAAAAATTAAGTGTGACCCCCCATTTGATTTCTTAAAGTCATCTAACTAGAGAAATAATTCTGACATGTTTTTTATAACTTTCCAGTAATCATGATATTGGCAGATATCAGGATATGGTAAGCACTACTAGGGGGAGTTCTAGGTTCTTGTGGTCCATGTGGAAAGTAGCAAGCAAAATAAAAGATTAAGAATATACTTCCTGGGGCTGGAGAGATGGCTCAGAGGTTAAGAGCACTGACTGCTCTTCCAGAGGTCCTGAGTTCAATTCCCAGCAACCACATGGTGGCTCACAAACATCTACATTTCAATCTGGTGCCCTCTTCTGGCATGTAGGCAGACTACTGTATATGAAATATATAAATAAATCTTTAAAAAAAGGAATACACTTCCCAATTCCAGCACTCAGAGGCTAGGAAGATCTCTGTGAGTTCAAGGTCAGCCTGCTTTACAGAGCAATTCTAGGACATCCAAGGTCACACAGAGAAACCCAGGCTCGCAAAACAAAACAAAACAAAAGGAAAACAAAAACTACACTTCCAAAGGGAAGAGCAGAGAGAAAACTTAGAAGGTCAATGAAGACTGTACAAAGGATTAGGGCTTTCATGTCACATTTCTCCGGGCTTTTGGGTCATTTTCATAGCATGAAATTTCATATGTATGCTCTATTTCATGTAGTTGTCTTTATAAATCCATGCATGACGTGCCATTAACATTTTAGTGTTACAGTGTTACCTTAAGGCACCTAGAGTGCAGAACCAGTAACTATGACAGTTCTAGATGGCCTCAGCCTAGCAGTTTCCAGCCATCCTTTTTGCCAACAAGTTGTCCTCAGACACTACTTCAGTAGCCTTTGTGTAAGACCTTCTGGACTTTGCTCTCCATAGACTTTATTTCCGCCTACGTCAGAAGCTCAGTAACACTCTTTAGTTTATCTTCTTGGGAGCAAAGGAAAGTCTAGAGGGGAGGTAAAGTGAACCTGAGTTACTTATGGATATGCCTACCAGATGTTTAGTTTGGATATATACAACGAGATTCTTTCCTACCAGCCTGGTCCCAGAGCAGCATCAGTCCCAAATGAACACACAGGGTGCCATATTAATTATGAAGCTGTTGGCTGTTTTCTATGGTTTCTTGTTGGCTAGCTCTGACTCAATTATTAACCCACAGCTGCTAATCTGAGTATTTCCGTGTGGTCTTCTCTTATGAGAAAGGGTCTGGACCTCTTACTCCTCTGGCATCCTTCATGGTGACTGACTGTGCCTCCATTTCCCGGAATCCTCCACCTCTCCTAGTCACACCTATCTTGCTTCCCTACTGACCAACAGTGCTTTATTCATCAACCAATAAGATATATATATATATATATATACACACACATATATATATATATACAGAATGACTTTCCCCATCAGACATGTAGTGTCCATTTTCTTGTATATTACCCAAGCGTGCTTTGTGTTGAACTAAGGATATTTCTGAACAAAAGCTTCTACTTAAGATACCAGTGGAAATCTGTGATGACCTTGGCTTATCATAGAGAAGTCATTTGTGCTTTCCTATTCAGAATCTTGCTTTACATGTGCGGAGAAGTCTACGGGGCACTGTAGAAAAATGTGGCTGAGTATGACTGCTCAGAATTAACCATGGCCTGCCACCACAGAGCTGCTGTTCTTTAAACCATACCTCCAATCAAATATCTACCAGTCAAAACTGTCCTTATGGCATGGTGGGAATCACAAAAGAATAGATCTATATACAAGCAGCCATGGGTAACCCTGCTTCTTTGTCCATTGTTACCTTGTAGTGTACTCAATAAACTTGTCATTCCTGAAGATACTATGGTGGCTGCTTCAGGAGTCTGTCCCTCCCCCTCTCTGTGGATATTTGTCTAGCATTTGGGTAGGGGGTTTCAGGAAGTAAAAACTGTCCAAAGTTTCCCTCTGCCACCTTTTTTCATGATGAGCCTGACCCCAAAGTGGCACTATAAAGGAAAGCTGTATCTTCTGTCTATTTTGTTCTACATAGCAGCTTTTTTGTCCCACTCCCAATTTTGCCATTTTTGATACCTCAAGTTTCTGAACAATGGCCAGAGTCTACTTCATTAGAGGACACCCCTGAAGTATCCTCATCTGAAAAGAAGGCACTGTCTGGACAAGCTACAGGGTGTCTTTGAGCTCTTGGCTCTACTATGGTTCTATGATTTCTAAGACTCGCACACTGAAATGCTGAGGACAGGCTGTACCTTGGTACAGAACTACAGGCCTGGGTTGCAATGTTCATGCCCTGGGGCTTCCATAAAAGCATCATTCATTAATGAGGCCCCCAAGTCAGTCCCATAGTGTGTAACTCAGTTATGTAAGACCTGGATAGGTTGTTCAGGAAGCCACCAAGTGCCCTGAACCCTTGGGCAAGTCATTAAACAATGCTGGTTATTCATTTGTAGAAGCAGCTTAAAGGAAACCTGCCCACCAAATGCATATGGCTGTATCATAATCCACCATCAACCACTGCATATGGGAATATCCTCTAAATGACCTTGCTGTGTTGGGAGGGGTGTCAGTTTGCTGTTCTGCTAGGGTCAAGAAGCCAGGTACAATGCAGAGAGAAGCCAGAAACAGTTTAAAGCCTTGCTCTTGTACTGAAGACCTGGACAATTCTTGGGAACTAATTCAGATGCTATCTCCGGTCTACTATAGACCAGTTCATTCTTCTGCAAGGCCAATTACTGTTGACGTCCTTCACGCCAGCTTTTCTCTTCAGGTCTTCATCTGGTATCTGTCATGGGAGAGATTTCTGGGCCTGGCCTATTGGTAGCTGGAATTTCTGCTCTGCTGCCTCTGACCTGTCCTATCCTCCTGATGACACTGAAGGACTCCCAGTCCCAGCTGAGTACTTTTTGGGTACTCTTTGTAGAGCTATCAAGAGGCTCTACAGCGTTCTGGAGAGGGCAGCATCTCAGTCCAACTCTGCTGCGTCAGGTTGAAGGCTTTGGGGAAAAGGAGAGGACTGGGGAGGATCTTGGAAGACAGGAGAGGTGGCTGTCAAAACAAACTCTTAGGAGGCTGCTGGATGGGATGGCAGAGTAGGTGCTGCCTCCACATTAGACCATATAGCCATAGCAGCAGTATGCATCCTCATAGAGGTTCCTGTCACACACTCAACTGCATTTGGTTGGGTCAGCTGTGGGTAGCTTACCCATACAAAGCCAATCAAAGTCCTACTAGAATTGTTGCTACAGCTAGAAATGAGGGAAAAGCCAAGGTAGTTTCCCTTTTCTTCTTCTCTTTCCTCCTTCTCTCTCTCCCTGTCCCTCTGTCTCTCCCTCTTCCTCTGTCTCTCCATCTCTGTCTGTCTCTGTCTCTGTCTCTGTCTGTCCAGACAGGGTTTCTCTGGGTAGCCCTGGCTGTCCTGGAATTCACTCTGTAGACCAGGCTGGCCAGGAACTCACAGAGATCTACCTGCCTCTGCCTCCCAAAGAGTGCTGAGATTAAAGGTGTGCACCACTACTGCCTGGCAGAGGTAGTTTTTGTTATGTTTGGAGCTGAGAAATATAAGTTTGGGAGCCTGTTGATCTCTGTAGTTTCTACTTAGGGATGGGCTTTGGTCTGCCCTGAGAATGGAGAAAGAGAAGAAGACAGGGAGAGGCAGTGATAGAGAGGGAGGAAAAGAGAGAGGAAAAAATACAAATATAGACAGAGAGAGAGAGAGAGAGAGAGAGAGAGAGAGAGAGAGAGAGAGAGAGAGAGAGAGAGAGCTGAGGCAGCTAGGTCCAGTGGTTTGTGGTGTTCTTCACACCGATGACCTTCTCCAGTTATTCCAAGTGTTCCTTGAGTTTTGTGAATTGAAGCGTTTCCATTTTGCTGGAGAGAATTCAAACAACTTTATCAAGGTAGTCACTAGTTAGACATATAGGAAGCAGGACATGAACATGTTGTGCTGAAAAAGATACCACCACCTGGTAGAGTGTAGATAAGATATATGGGTTGATTTAAGATGTAAGAGCTAGTTAGTAACAAGCCTAAGCTATAGGCTGAGCATTTATAATTAATAGTAAGTCTTTGTGTGGTTATTTAGGAGCTCATGGTCCTGACGAATGACTCCGCCAACATGGGGTGAGGTCACGTATATCCACATAAAACCTAAAAAAATCTTAAGAAAAGGCTCCAAACACACAAAAACAAGCCAAACACAGTTTCTTCGTCTCACAGTCTCTCATGCAGCTGCCTTAGGAGTTGAGCCTACATTGTGGCAAGAGCCCTGCGCTAACATACCATGAAGTAAGTTGCATGGCAAGTTTAAGGTTTTGCTCATGCAAATAGAAAAGCTTTTACACAGTAAAGACAGATCCAGATTGGGGGAAAAAGTTCTAAATGTGTTACAGTGTGTTTAAAAATGCACACAGGCTTGGGAAAGAAAAGAGAAAGGATATAGACAGTCATAGAAAAAATAATTTAAAAAAATAATGAAGTCTTTAAAGAGAGAAGTAAAATTAAAAAAAATAAGCCATGTAGAGATACTCAGGGAGTCTGTCTGGACCTTCTATTTTATTGTAGTGTCTTTAAATTCTTTGGTAGCTACTAAGAGA